TTCACCGAGTTATTCAACATTAAAGGAAAAAAGGTTTCTTTTTGCTTCAATGTTGAATAACTCAGTGAAAAAAAATCGTACAACGCTCAACAAAAAAGCAAATTGAAGGTAAAGATTCACTCTTTAAAATGCAGTAAACTGCATTTGCAATTTTTTATTCGCGCCATGAAACTTGTCGAAGCTCGTAAAAAATTTTAAGATTCGTCGGGTCTCCTTTTCTATCCGTGTAATTCCATGAAAGATTAGTAGGATCGTTTTCTTAAGTATCAATTTAGAAAGTAAAGATTTCAAGCAGTAAAATGCTTTTTTGAACATCTCGATATGATCATTTTTGACGAAGTTGCTCTATCTTGAAGTTTGCCTATTTTTAGAGGCTAGAACAGGTGATCCTTAATTTTTTGGACCAGTGTATATATATATATATATATATGTATATATACATATATTTACTTAATATATACTTAGCATATTATACTTAGTTTCATTTAACAAATACCAAAAAGTTCTCAATTGTTTAAATATGAACAAAGAAAAAAACATTAAAAAACGTTTTTGAAAGCCGCTCATGAAACATTTTGAAACGCTTGTGAAACACTTGCGGAACGTTTCTTAAACAAATATGTGTCATCTAGCTAGACTAGGGAGAAATTATGGACATGACTAAGCACAAAATTCTTCTATAATCGGCCTTTTCGTATTATCATAAGTGGTACTATTATAGATGTTATCGGCATACGAATGATGCTAACGCAACGACAAAGCGTTAGCACCACATTTCATATGCAACATTTTATATGCAACAAGAGCAAATTTTATATGCAACAAGAGCAAATTTTAAAACTATATGTTGTTACTACGTACTAGATTCTTATATCCCGTACATCATCGATTATTGCAAAAAGCTTTCAGAATTCGTTTAATCTTTCATATGGAACAATTCTCAAAGAAAATTATTACACACATTCATGTTGGTTTGCATTGTCGTTACTTCACTATTGTTGATTAATTCTGAAAAAATTCTACAATTTATCATATAAAATATTGCAGCAAAAATGTTTTCGAAACCTTTCACACCTAATAAATTTAATTAAGGAGCAATACGCGGCACTGTCACTAGATATAGACGCAACGGGGAGTTTTTTCTTAAAATTAAAATTTGAAAACTATACAAAATGTATAATAAAGGGTGCAGCATAATGAGATTTTTCATTTGTGTTTTAATAAGATAATTTTTTGAAGGTAAGTCCCCGAAATTGGGCTTCAAGATAAAAATAAATAAAATATATATAAAGATATAATATTTTGAAGGTACAATTTCATTTAACTTTGTTTTTTTTTTTAAGAACATTTGTAGTTTCAAGATAGTATTAAAATTAACTCTTAACTCTAATTAAAGGTTTAAAAGAGGAGTTAATTAGTATAATATCGTCAAAGTAGGTTTTTATTAATTGTAAAGCTTCTAAGTGTCAAAGTAGCATAAAAATTTGGGAAACATTTGTAGCTTCAAAGTAGCATTGAAAAGAAATATTTCTATTTTCATATCTATTTAATTAACAAACAACTTAATTTTCTATTTTATAGGATATGTGAATAAATGCAAAATAAACTAATTTATTTATTACAAATAAAGAACATATAAAAGTTAAATTGTTTTTGTAACAAACATAACACAATCAAATTTTTATATCATGCTTTTTTTGTAGGGAATTTTTGAAAATTTAAGAAGTTATTAATTTTATCCGTAAATTGCAGAGTCTACAATTGAAGGCGAGTCAGTATTCAGTGGAATGAAAACAATTCTTATTGGCTAATTAAAAAATATTTGTGTTCAGAAAAACAAAATTTTAAATAATATAGAATATTACTTTTTTTCATTATATAATAAATTAATTACTGTGTAGCTCTTCGACAAAATGTATTTTAATACAGTGAAATGTAGTTTGTTTTAACTGAAACATCATCAGTCTTTATTATAGAAATTATATCATATACGAATTATACTTATAACATCCTCGATGCATTTTCGCATTGAATAATTGCGTCGAAATCGCTCATACTACGCCGATTTGTGAAAAAATCTCATATGTAATACTTGTCTTGAAATTAATTATTGCTTTATATTTGTAATTTACGTAATTGCTGTGAAAAATCTATTATTGTGAAATTTATCAGTCAAATTACGTTTCAAGATGAAAATTTAATTGACGCGTGATTTGTTAAAATTAAATCTGTATATAAATTTAATTTGAAATATGAAATACGAAGCTGGATCGAAGCTGTAGCTTGTATCGAAAAGGCATTTCTTTTCCTAGTTGTGTTTTTATATACCGATTTAGTGTCATTGATATTGTATTGCTTTTAATATTTAAACAAATAAATTGTAAAAGCAAATTATTTAGATTAATCTTATTTCAACATTAGAAACATAACGGAAAAATAACGAATTGTTATTTTTTAATAGGAACGGTAACTATATAGTTACTTTTATGACTTGCTAAAGAATAATTATTAACCTTGACTGCGTTCGCGGAGTGCATTATCAGTACTTTTGAGTCATTCTACCTTAAACGCTCATTTGACGTAAAATGAGAATGATATATGCAATAGCGTTGATAGTGCGTTCTTTGAGCACCACCTATAAGGTCTATGAGAAAAAACTTTCAAAAAGTATCTTTCTTGATAGTTTTTAATTTGACACTATTTGCCTCATTAAAAAAGACAGAATTGCGTTCCGTTAGTCATTCCGAGTACTAAAAATCTATAGATAGGCTATGTTCGGAAAACGCATTATCAGAAATATTGCATCATTTTGTTCTTTTATTTATGTCTAATTAACGATAAAGGTAATAAAAATAAGACAATAGCGCTATTGTAGGAACGTGCTATATCAGCGCTATTTCATCATTTTGTCCTTATTTTACGTCTAACGATAAAGAAGTATGGCATATTAATTAACGCTTTTATGTCATTTTATGCTGTTCGTCAAAAAGTCAAATTACAGATAAGAATTCACTATAATAAAAAGGAAGTGGAAATTGTACTGTCTACCAGTTTCATTCTTAATCTGGCGTTTAATCATTGCAATCATGCTACCGCTA